TGTGCTTCTGTGTGGGTGTTTTGTGAGGCACGGTGCAGTACTGATGTGGCTGGAGGTGGTTTTAGGGTCGAGGATCTGTCCACAGAGGGGGAGTGGTAGTGGCACCTTATTCACAGTCCTGTACTCTTCATTCTCCAATTTTTCAGATGGGGCCAACCTTTGTGGAGGGCTGGAAGGGAGAGGAGGCTGGCCCAAAGGCTCCTAATACCATGTGCAGGGGCAGGTGTCCAGAAAGCCCATCCCAGTGGTTTTATTGCCCTGTATTTTTGCAGGTGCCAAGCACCACAACTCTCGGCCCCGAAGCAGCAGCGTGGGGTCATGGCTGTTTGCCTGCCACATGAAGCGCTGTAGTAACAGGTCCTAAAGGTTTCTCAGCCCCTGCTCCCTTCCCACAGTACCTCTGTCCTTGCTTTAGAGATGCTGACAGTACCTGCCTGTCCTTCTTCCAGAGGTGCTGCAAGCGCAAACCAAATAGTGGGGTAAGGATGGGATCAGTACCCACAGCCTGTTCTTAGTGCTGCTTCTGGAGGAGACTGTGAATCTCTGTTCCCAGGTTTGGAAAGAGCATCCAGTGACGGAGAGGGGCTGAGTGGGATGTGAGTGTCCTGGAAGGGGACTGGGGAGAGAAGCCCAGGGCTTTGTTTCCATCACCCTTCCTCCTTCCCTCCACCAGCAGACCTCCCTACAGCCTTTCCCCATGATGTTCCCTCTGTGCTGGAGCAATAGGGCACAGGTGGATTTTGACTGCTGACTGGCTGTCAGTGGTGGTCGTGGGGTGCTCACAGGTTTTAAAAGAGCCAGCATCTCCAGGTACATCAAACTCTACTGCGTGTTGGCAGATGCGGAGGTTGGAAATTCTTTTTGTTGTTTCTTTTCTGTTGTTTTCATGACACGATGTGGAGCAGAGGTGTATTTCCGTGATGGAGATCAGCATGATTGATCTTTTTGTGCTATGAAATGTGTTGATTATACGGTACAAGGTTATGCAAGTGTACATACGGCTTGAAACAACACTGTTTAGCAACTAATGTATGCGGCTCTATCAAGAAGCAGAACTGGGATGTGCGCAGCTCTGGTATTATCTTGGAACTTGAGATCATTGATTAGTAATGACTTGTTTTGAACATCACACTGCAGATGGAAATTTTGTGAGGAACAACAGTTCTCAGCTGGGTAGATGCTTGGCCATACCTCCTTGACAATGGATTGGTGGTCCTCCTGGTGAAGGTGACCAGATTTGTCTTCAAGTGGTAGCTACTTGATAAAGGATTGTTTATCCTCCTGGTGAAGGTATCTCTTTTTGGTCATCCCTGAGGTTCTGTCATGCTGAGACATGGGACAGACTCCCTGTCTAGGTGACCTTAGATGATCAAAAATACTGTTCTCAAATCCAGTGCTAACAGAGAGAGTAAAACCAGCCAGACTTCACATTTGAGCACCGCAGTGGTCCCTTGCCTGGCCTACCAACCTAGGCTTGTTCCCTCCTTATCTCAGTGCTATGTGACTGTCACAGGAGGTCCCTTCGCCACCCTTGGCTTGTCTGTTGGGGAGTACAGTTGGATAAATGTAACCTTCCCAGACCTGGCAGCTGCCAGGGTCGCTCAGGTGCCTTTGATTCAAAGCTTGGGCTGGTGTAGGAGCCATCCGCCCCCTTGCCACAATGAATTATCCCCTGAAGGACTTGCAGATTACACGTAATTCTGCATGAGATGTGTTAATCTGTGCAAGTGGAAGGTATTTCCTCACTCCAAAGGGATCCAGTGCACTCAGTTTTTGGCAGCTTTTTCGATTCTCCATGGGATGGCCATGTTGGGACTCATCTGACGAGGCGTCAAGAGTTGTGTCTAAGTAAGGCGTACTCTGTGTCAGTGCAGCGGAGTGAGTGCTTCCAGACTGCAAGTTGTTTGATCCAAAGTAAATATTTAAAATAAATCAGAGAAGCTGTGCCGTAATTGCATGTGTTTTCTCTCTGTTGACTACAAAAGGAGGTTAGATCAACTAGATCAGGTTTTTTTGCATCACAGGCATCTCAAACTGCGGAGGTGTCATGTCCTTCCTCCCAGTGTGCTGCACTGCTGTGTCGGAGGAGAAGGGCTTTGAAGGCTTGCTTTGGAACAGCTTCACTAGGTTTGATTCTCTTTCCTCTTACACCAAGCTCATCAGAATATCATGGTGGAAAAATCAGTGGAGCTCCGCTACTGTAAAATCCAGCAAAGCTGAGTCATCACATCTGCACCTCTTGGATCTCTTCCATCTTCATGTAGGATGAGTGCTGTTGCAATGCAACAACATAACCTCTGATCATGTTGTGAGTGTCACTTCCTCCATAAAATAAAACAAAACCGAACTGCAGAGTCCTGAGGGCTATTGCTCAAGGATGTGAGATAACCACTGGCAAGCGGAATATGCTGATATGGGCAATGTGAGAAATTGTCTGAGTTGATCCACCAAGCATCCACCTCAGATGAAGGGAGCCAGGGCTCCTTCCCTCTTTCTGCTTACTGGGTCAGTTGAACAAGCAACTTCAACTCCTTGCCTGTCCTGGATAATAACCTTTTTGGAGCACAGACCACCTCTTACCACAATTTTGTGTAGTGCCTGGCACAACAGAAGCCCGTCTCGGTGGCAGAGTCTACCTGCTGGCATCAATAACACATTCCAGGGCCTCTCCAACCCTCTCCAGGCTGAGAACTGATCTCTTAGAGGCAACAAAATCCCTGTGCTTTGCTTTGGACAGTGCCAGAAAAGACCAAGAGACAAAGGGAGAAGCCTCTGAGAGGGACACGATGGTGCAGCAGTGCCAAGCTGCCATGACAGCACGGCACATGTGTCATGGGTCTGGGTGCCTGTGTTGTCATCTGCTGCGTGGGAGTGTCTCATGCTGAGTTTCAAGTCCTTTAGGAAGTTTGACTAACAGCCTGTATCCCCTAATTCTGGGACAGGTTCCTTCAAAATCCCAAACCACTCATTCTCCATTCTCATGTCTGCTTTCTCTTCCCTTCTGTATGGTCATCTCCTCCTATTTCCCTTTCTGGCTGTTGCAGCCAGTCCCTGGCCACCTTGCAGAGCACCCAGCCCAAGCCTCCCACTTCCATTTCTAAGTCTGCTGGCTTCACAGGCAGAAAGGACATTGGGGTATAATGTGCTGGATTAGCTCTCAGGGCTGCCTGTTAGGAACAGGACACCAAAGGACATGCATCACAGAACGTCCCCTGGACCATCTGCTGCTCCTTGGCCATTCTCTCCTCCCTGCCCTTCAGCTTTCATCCAGCCAAGATGCTTCACCTCCTCTCCCTGTTCTTGACCTTAACTTCATCTCACTGCCCCTTTTTGTTTCTATTACCTTTTTCACCTTTTCTCATACTCCTGTGTGGGCAATTTGGCCAGAAAGCACACAGACCTCTGAGCAGAAAAGCCAGGCAACACTGGTTGATATGCCCTTTGCGCCACACACTTTTGGACCCTCAGAATGAAAGCAGGAGCATTATCCTGCATTGATCAAAATACCAATGAGATGCTTGCTGAGCGGGAAGCAGCTCTATCCACAGCTGGCCACATGCTGTGCACTCATCAGCATCCAGCACCTCTGCGGTATAAATAGACATTTATAAATAGATACATAGGCATCTTTCCTTTCTGTAAATCTTCACTTGATGGAATCTGTCAGGTCTCAAACTGCACCCAGTACTTTGTGGACTTTGTCACAAGTGATTATAAAGATGA